TTCATGAGGGAGGGGGCGGGGTGGAGGGGGGGAATGAGCAAATGATATTAAGGACTAAAGTAGGGGGTAAATGTTTTGAGATTGATGAGGGCAACAAATGTACATATGTGCTTGACTCAATGGATATATGTATGGACTGTGATAAGAATTGTACGAGCCCTCAGTAAAATAATTAAAAATAAATAAATAAAAGTGGATTGATACAACAAATCTAGCCAGAAAGCCTCACACAATGGGGACACTAGTCTTTGGCCACAGAAGATAGAGGAGAGCTTTGGTCAAAGGCTAGGCAAGAAGAAGGTGACGATGTTTAGAGGTTAATAGAAACTTCTTGGTCCTCCCATGGCCTGGATTTATAATAATGAAATGGGGCAGGTGGCTACCACCCAAGAAGGGTTCACGGTCTGCTCTTCACAGCCAACAGTTTGGATTAGCAGAGATACTAGCTATGGATGAGAGACATCTGGACCAGGTGTGGGGACAGATGGTGAGTGTTGTGCACATCCTTTGACCACCTGTAGTAGTTGAGACTATAGTTTGTTTGGTTTTGTGCTTCATTGTAAGGGAAGTAGGACTCTTGTTGTTGTTAGCTACTCTTACGTTGTACCCTGACTAATGGCAACGGAGTGAAACACCGCCCGGATTCACTTGTGGATTAGTGTTGTGATCCATGGGCGCTCATTAGCTGCTTTTTTGAAGTCGATTAGGCAAGCTTTTCTTCCTAGGCAGTCTCAGTCTGGAAGCTCCATTGAGACCTGTCCACTATCACAGAAGCATGGAAGCCTCTGCTAACAGCATAGATGGTGGCAGTGCATGTGGAACTCAGGGCTCTCATCTGAGAATTCTGGTGAGAAGTTGAGAATTCTGTTGCAAAACCACCTTACTGCAAAGAAGCAATGCACCTTAGTGGCACAAAGCAGGCTGTCATGGGTGCTGGGGTCTCTGCAGGCCCACTCCCGAGTATGTCACATGGCACTTCCTACGCACAGAGAGGAGGAATAATGTGCTGGAGTATCTACGTGGGCAGAGAATGGCACATTTGACGTTTAGACAATTGTTGGCTAACGTTTGCTGGTCCCTTCATGCTGTTCGTAAAAGAGTCTTGGGCAGATGACTTGACTTGCCCAGGACTTCCTTGATCAAAGTGACAGAGCCAGGCATCCTGCTGGAATTCCTCACCACTGTGCCTGTCACTCTTAGTACATCTTCCCCCGAGGATTGCTTTCTTAGGACAGCAAGCTTGCTTTCTACATTTACCCTCAGATGCCTCAGGGAGCTTTGTCCTAGAAATCATTTTCTTAGAAATATTTCAATTCTAAGAACATATTTCAATTTCAATGGTATCTACTGTCCTTTATGCTTGCTTATAGCGAGCATTTCCTACTCTTTCCCAAATAATTAACCCTCAGTTAAACTCCTTGTGTTTACTTTTATAAACACACCAGAAATATGCACGATGATTCTTCCTACGACTGAGGAATCCCTCTGCCCTCTGCAGAGTTCCACTAAAGTGGTCTGAGCCTGCCCTCACAATGACTGGGAGGTCCAGGGTGGGTGCAAGGTGCTCTGGCTTTCACAGCATGAGAAGAAGGTTCTGGAATCCCCAAAGACCATGTGAACACCGCTGTTTTGAAGTCCAACATTCAGAACAGCTTCCTCTATAAAAACAATCTGTTACCCAGCATCCCTTCCTTCCATTGCTCACATAGTTCATCCGAAGGAGAACAGCACAACCAACACAAAGTAGCTTCTACGTCTCCACTGATGTTTTCCAAATCCTGGATACTCTATTGAAAATCTTTCATGAAAAAGGCAGAATAAAGGATCAATGAAAATGTTTTTGCGACATATGGTTTATTTGAAGTCAGTCCTGCACCCACATTACATAGTATAATTTTTATCATTCTAATCCATTCAATGAATCGTTTCAGAAACTGCTTTTATATGGATTGAAAACTACATTTCAATCATAAATTTTTCATGCTACATTATTATTCCATGAAGATGTGGTATTATCAATAAAATAATTTAAGAAAAGGCCATTTTTATTTCCCCAAGCTCAATATACAGATTTCTTTCATAATTATGAACTTAAAAAACCCGTCTCAGATGTAAAAATGTGAATTGGAATATGTAAACTCCTTGTTATACCTGAAAAATAGGAAGGAAGTTGTCAAATACTGGAAAAATCTTTTTGCCTTAAATCATCGACACGGGAAAAGCATGTTGACGGGTGGGGAGAAGGCAGGAGAGCGATGATGACGTCGGTTATTAAAGAGTTACAAAGTCAGTTGTCCAAATGCAACTGTGGGGTAGGGATTCTTTCTAGTGTGTGCGCTCTCACGTCTCTTTCGTGAGGGGGAGTCACTGAAGTAGAACCATTACTATCACCGAAGAAAGTCACTAGCTGGGCATCCACAAGCCAGTTATCTACATAGCTGTTTTGCTGATCTTATTTTTCCTGAGAAGTCACTGGTATTTAATGGAAAGATAACTAATTAGTCTTCAGATAAGGCAGTAATTTTATCTTTTTGCTTAGAGTGAGGCTTTTGCTTCCATTGGCATTCTGAAAGGTTTCTGGCCCATCTCTTCCCACCCCAGGAGTGTTCAGCCTCCTATTGCTGTTCGGGTTAGAGATACGCTGAAGGCTCACGGAACACCATCGTAGCAGCTTCCCATTTGCAGATGGAGCACTGCAGGTTCTCTGATGGTATCGTTTCACAATGGCCTATCTTCAGCAGCGTGAAACACGGGGTGCCTTTCCTTCTCAGGGCTCTTTCTGTCTTCTTTCTTTGCGGAAGAGGGTCGCAAGGGATTCCTTCTGTAGGCAATCGGAATGCAAGATCCTGTTGACTAAACCAAAGTAAGCAACCCTGATTCCAGAGAAATGGAATTACAAAGAACTTCAGCAGAGCCTTAACTTGCCAGGTAGCTTTTGTGTCAAAAGGAAGGGAATTCCTTTGGCCACCTGTCAGAAGAGAAGCCATTTCCATTGAACTAGAAAATGCTTAGCTCTTATGAGAATATTGTGCTTTTTTGAAAATTCACATATTTGCAGTCTTTGTCCTAGGGTATCAGTCTGCTTTTTCTCTGGTCCATTTGATCATTGTTTCTGGCGAACGGTACAGGAATATTAATTTAGCATAGAGATCTTCCTCCAGCTCCAGTTCCCCTGTCTCTCGGACTAAAAAAATATCTGTGCACAACTTCAAAATTCGATCCACATTTGGAAGCTCTTCAAACATGATGGAGTGAGAAATCCCACTGAAGAATTCACGGACAAACTTCCCAATCACAAGGACAACTGAAGCATATAGTCCCATGATCCTAAAGGAAAAAAAAAATGAACAGGAAGTTTTGTAGCAGCAAAATATGGTTAATAGGCTACTTCTAAAATAAAACAAAAATAGCATTTTCCATCAAATGCTAGGATGGAAGATACAATAAGCTTTCACAACTTAAAATTTCTCCCTCTTGTGGAAATAGTAACTTTTTTTTTCTGGATAAAAAAGGAATGAATATTCTTTGTTAAAAATATATATACATATAAGACTTGAACAATGAAACACAATTTTCAATCTTATATTTGAAAACAATCAGTAATAATAGTTTTATTGCTTATATTATTTATAGAAATTATAATATGCATGATGGAAATTTGACTGTACTAGAAGTACTTTTCCACCACTAGATCTTTTCACTTTAACATACTTATGTCCTGAATATTTTTTAATGAACCACAAAAATATAATTTTTGTAGAGATTCATTTTGAAAATAAAATACTGAATAGAAAAATTCTCCTGATGACATCAATTCTCGTCAATAATGGGTATAGATTTTAGCCTTATAATGTGCTTATCTGGTAAGATCTAACCTGTTATAAACTATGGTGGTCAATTGACCATATATATAAGTTTCAGAAAAGAAAAAAAATAGATAACTCTATGCTGTTTCTGAATTTAGACACTTAATAACATTAAACTATGCAACAACAATAAAATGTGCAGTAAGGAAACAAGGGAATGTGGTTTTTAGCCCTCCCTCACTATAGACACATACAAACACTTTGAACTCTTTGGGACTCTGGTTTATCAATCTTTAAAATGAAGAATCCACAAAATGCGAATTTTAATACAAAATTCACAGTCCCAAGAATATAAAAGGCTTCCCATCCATACATATCTATGACACATTCTTGTGACTATAAATTGTGAAATGAGTCCTTACCCATAGCCAGCCAGGAAACCAAGACTAGGGGGACTGACTTTGTCATTGAAGACAATTAGTTCTAAGGCTGGAGTGTCCTGGGGGAATACTCTTTTTCCAGCCAGGTCGAGAACCCACCACTCACTGTTTGAGTCAGTTGTATTGTCTCTGGACAAAATGATGCTGATATCCATGAAATTACTTTCTGGAGAAAGAAAAGATAAAGAACATAAGTTATCTTGAGAATTCAGAACATGCACAGCAGTTGTTCTCCGATGACAAACCTTGGTCACTATCTACGGCATACAGATCCAGGATGAAGAGGACAGACGGCCAGGAAGAAAACATGAATGGGAAAAGACCTCTGTAGGGGGTTTCTCTCTTTCAGATGAGATTCCATGCATTATAGCTGTATGCTCGTGGTGGACAACTTACCAGGAGAAAGTTGAAGATCCATCCTTGGGAATTTGTGCTGGTAATTCCCAACAACGAACGAGAACTATAAAAACCTAACTCACCGACTTTTGATTGAAATGGCTGATTCATTTATATTACCAGTATTTAATAAGAGGAAGATACTCTATTACAGCGGTTCTTGATCTTCCTAGTACCATGGCCCTTTAATACCGTTCCTCATGTTGTGGTGACCCCAAACCATAAAACTATTTTCATTGCAACTTCATAATGGTCATTTTGCTACTGTTACGAATTGTAATGCAAATATCTGATATGCAGGATGTATTTTCTTTTTTAAAAAAAATTTTATTAGTGACTCATACAATTCTTATCACAATCCATCCATCCATCCATCCATTGTGTCATGCATATTTGTACATTGGTTGCCATAATCATTCTCAAAACATTTGCTTGCTACTTGAGCCCTTAATATCAGATTCTCATATCCCCCCTCCTTCCCCACTCACCCATCCCTCATGAACCCTTGATAATTTATAAATTGTTATATCTTACACTATCCGACGTCTCCCTTCACCCACTTTTTTTGTTATCCATCCCTTAGGGAGGAGGTTATATGTAGATCCTTGTAATTGGTTCCCTCTTTCCACCCCAACATCTCTCCACCCTCCAGGTATCGCCACTCTCACCAGTGGTCCTGAAGGGGTCATCTGTCCTGGATTCCCTGTGTTTATAGTTCCTATCTGTACCAATGTACATCATCTGGTCTAGCCAGATTTGTAAGGTAGAATTGGGATCATGATAGTGGGAAGGAAGCATTAAAGAAGTAGAGGAAAGTTGTATGTTTCATCGTTGCTACCCTGCACCCTGACTGGCTCATCTCCTCCCCACAACCCTTCAGTAAAGGGGTGTCCAGTTGCCTACAGATGGGCTTTGGGTCTCCACTCTGCACTCACCCTCATTTACAATGATATGATTTTTTTGTTCTTTGATGCCTGATACCTGATCCCTTCGAAACCTCATGGTCACACAGGCTGGTGTGCTTCTTCTATGTGGGCTTTGCTGCTTCTGAGCTAGCTGGCTGCTTGTTTATCTTCAAGCCTTTAAGACTCCAGACGCTACATCTTTTGATTTCTGGGCATCATCAGCTTTCTTCACCACATTTGCTTTTGCACACATTTGTCTTCAGTGATCATATCGGGAAGGTGAGCACCCACTGATATGATTTTTTTGTTCTTTGATGTCTGATACCTGGTCCCTTCTACACCTCGTGGTCACACAGGCTGGTGTGCTTCTTGCAGGATGTATTTTCATTGTTACAAATTGAACGTAATTAAAGCATAGTGATTAATCACAAAAACAATATGTAATTATATCTTGTGAATATTTATTTCTAATGACAAATAAATGAAAAGTTGTCTTGATGCATGGTGTAGCAAGGGTTACAGTCTTCATGCTGGGTACTCGTATGTGGGCGTATCTGGATGTGGGCAGAGATGGATAGAGGAATGGTGTCTCAGTTCCTAAGACCATCGGAAATATGTGTTTTCTGATGATCTTAGGCGACCCCTGTGAAAAGATCGCTCGACCCCCAAAGGGGTTGCAATCCACAGGTTGAAAACCACTGCTCTATTAGTTACAAAGGGGGTTACAAAATTGCATATGATAGTGTTCCTTATCTCTATGGGGTAAATGTCATGACCATCAATTTCTGGGTGGATGGCTACTACCCTAGGAAGGGCATTGACAAGATCCATTGGAGAGATCACTTCTGGTTGGTATGACTCATGAGGCCTTACAGAAGCAATGACTTTTAATGTGGGTTTGACTGAATAAGCATGTGTGAGTTAAAAACCTTGATAACTAAAATAATCCCAAAGTAGTAATCTTCTGTCATCCCTGTTACAATGGAAGTGGACAATTCAAGTTGAACTGCTGAACATTCAAGTATATTTCGCGCTATTATTTTATTGTTCTTCTTGTAAGGAGTCAATATATTTATTATCAGAATAATTCTGCAAAAGTTATAATTGCTAGTAGAAACAAATAAGAAGACTGATTTATCATTAATTTAAGTCGCTAAAAATATTTTCAGTCAATCAGGTTCTACATCAACAAGAAGAAAAGTTCCTAGGTAACTCACACTATTAGTGAAGCTAGACAGGGTTTATGATTCTTGCAAGCCATGCCACACAGGGAGAGATAACTGGAAAAGAACTTGACAAAGTTTGGAAATGTAAAGAGTGAATAAAAGTATGATCGAAAGGCACCCCATATAGTTCTGATCATTCTTACCAGATAAAAGTTGCTTTATCGGTTTTGAGTTAGAATCACTAGGTGCTTTCACATAATATGGGTAGATCTTTTCTATAGTCCTATGCAGTAGGAGAGAAAAAGAGATGTGATTAATTTGTTTAATCAATCTAAAGTTGCTGTTCTTTTTGCTATTTTTGACCTTAAAATTAATTATGGAAGCTCTCGTCTATCTACATAAGTTGTTGTTGTTAGCTATCTTAAAGCCAATCCCCAATTCAACCCAAACACAGAAGAATGAAATGCTTCCCAGGCTTGCTCTGTCTGCACAATTGGTTGGGGATTGAACTCCTGCAATGTATATGGCTTCCAGTGGCTGATTGTCAGAGGTTGATCCCCAGGACTTTCTTCTCAGACTGGAAGCTCTGGCAAGTGTCTATGCACAAAGCACATCGGTCAGGGATCCACAAGGAAGGAGATCATTTTACTACTGGGTCACACACATCTTACTTTATGAATTTTCATTATAATCAAAACTCTCTGAAGCTGTACACATTTGCCAGGCAATTACCTGGACCCAGATGTATATACAATCTCAGCACACAAGCTAACTAAAACTGAAAGGGTTCTGAAGGGATTTTCCACATCTGTGACTTTTTTGGAAGCCAAAGGTTCGCCATTCTTGCTGGGTCCTGTCACCGTGATCAAAAGCACTGGGCACTATTCTAATTTTAAGCTTTAGGATGGAACGTCATTCCGGGGATGAGTGGGAAGAGCCTCCTGCCGGTCTGGACCCGACTCTCCACTGCTGTCACCGCAGAGCTTAGTGAGCTCGAGGACATTGTTATGTTTCCCTAGATCTGTGCTCTCCTCGAGAACGAACGGTGGAAGGTTGGATGATCATTCTAAGCCCTTCCCACTTTGTTGTTGTTGTGAGGTGCCCTGGAATGCATTTTGAAACGTAGAGACACCAGGCGACAGATTAGAACTGCTACACAGTGTTTTCTAGACTTGAAATACATCACTGTGAACATGACAGTCTGCCTGGCCCAAACCATGGCAGTCTCTCAATAACTATGGTATTCAGTCAACTAAATGCTGGACAATGAATAAGCAAGACTGACAGAAAAATGGATGCCTTTAATTTATGATGAAGTATATGAGCTCTACCATTGGCTTTTAGAAGAATGAAAAAAAAATATTGCTGTTTGAAAAAGTACAGCCAGGATGCTCCTTTGAAGTGAGGATGGTGAGACTTTGTGTCGCTTGCTTTGAATACAAGAGACCAGTAGTTGGGGAAAGACATCATGCTCAGTCTAAAAGAGGAGACTCTCAGATGGATTGACATGGGGACTGCAACAATCAGCTCAACATAACAATTGTGAGGATGGCACAGGACTAGACAGACAGAAAGAAACTGCATTTCATGCACAGGGTATTTGTATGCAGCGGTCCGAAGCCACCATACGGACAGGGAAAATCAACTTACACTGGTGTGTTGGAGCTTTCTGTGTCATTCCCAGCTATCATTTTAGCTATGTTCTCTCGAGTGATATTTTTAAGAGGAAAAGAAAGCTTATCTGTTGCTATTTCTGCTTTTGCACCCAGAGTCATATTTCTGTGAAGGAAAAACAGGAAAGAAAGATCAGTGTTTGTGGCTTTCCAGATGTCTGGAAGAGACTCAAAAATCAACAATTCTAAATGTGATGATTGTCACCATGTTGCCATTGAGTCCACTGTCATCCGTCCCAACATTTCCTTTATCCCTCATTTCTAAGTCCAGCATTGAAGACAAGTCAGCAGAACCCAGGGAGACCACCGTTTCCACTAGGGGAGAGATGAACTTGAGCAGGCAGAGCTACCGGCCAGAGTAGACTGGATTTGGTGCTCTAGTATGAATTTTAAACGCCTGCTCATATCAACCACATGACGTCAATCTCCATGGTGACTAATAGAATCTATGATTTTTACAGAATGTCCACCCAATCAAAAACTAGGCAAATGATGTAAACAGTTACTTTATAGAAGAGGATATTCAAATGGCCAACAGACACATGCAAAGATGCTTAATATCATTAGCCACCAGAGAAATGCAAATTAAAACCACGATGAGATACCATTTCATTCACACTGGAATAGCTAAGATAAAAAAACAACAATGAAAATAACACGTGTTGGAGGGGATGTGGAACACAGGACTCTGTGTCAAATGCTGGTAGGATTATAAAATGGTACAAGCACCCTGGAAGACACTCTGGTGACTCCTCAAAAATCTAGAGGTGAAGCTGCTGTAAAATCTAGTAATTCCATTCCTTGATACATGTTCTAGGCATGACACAGACATGCACACCTATGTTCAATAGTGCTATTCACCATAGCAAAAAGATAGAAGTAACCTAAAATGCCCATCAATAGTTGAATGATATGTAAAATGTGGCACAGACATATCATGAAATACTACGTCGTAATACAGAAAAATGTGTTCTCAAAACAATTTACAGTATGTGTGAAGCTGAAGCACATTATGTTGAGCAAAACAAGTCAGTTACAAAACAAAATAAAAAACAAAACACCCCCCCCACACAAATATTATATGTTCTTACCATTATGAAATGATACAAATAGGTAAAAAACAAATGAACAGAATTAACATTCATTAGGAGTTACCAGGGGTGAGGTAAGGGGTATGGAGACATGATCTCTAGGTAGACACCCTTTTTTTATAGAAATATAAAAAATGGAACCGATAAATATGGGTGAAGTTCACACAGCATGACTGATGTAACTTATATCAACAAGATAGACACAGGGAAGAGGGATGAATGATGGGTAAATGCTGGATTGTGTATAGATTTACAGCAGTAATGATAACTAAAAAGGGGGGAGGTGTACACATTCGATTCTCGGTTTGGAGTTTAGGACCACAGTCTTCAGGAGCAATCTAATCGATGAGTATAACATAGTTCATAAAGTTTATCTACTTCCCAGTATGTTGATAAGTGTCTGAGGCCTTAACATGTCAAAAGTAGCCATCTAAGACACAGCTATTTTTCTGTATTCTTCTGGAACAAGACAGAAAGGAGGAAACCCAAGAATCAGTGAAGCAAATGGACTATAGGGCTAACAGATACACACGCCACTGGCTCCTCCTCTTCTTGAGAAGAATTAGATCATTCTTGGCTGTCACTATTGAATGGTGTGATCAAGAGCACAATAGATGAATCCTGATAAAATAGGGAGAACATGTATTTGAACTTCAAAGTCTTAATGTATCTAGACCTGCTGGCCCTTTTGAAGCTGAATGAGTCCCCAAGACTGTGACCCCGGATTACCCTTCAAATCATAAATGGAAGCTATCTTCTGATGACACCTTTAACTAAGTGACAGCTACATACACGGAGTCAGGATTGCTGTCTTGCATTTCTTTGGAAGGACAAAAACAAAAAGCCCCCCAAACCCCACGATATAACACCAGAGAATCCACAGCCATGTTAGAGCAAAGTAGAATTGAGCTGGTTGGGCGGAGTGGGAGGTGGGGGGTCAAGAGATCAGGTCGGTTGAAGTGAAGTCACTAGAGCAGCAATCATGAGAATGTGGACACGATGTGAAGAATGTCACAAATGTGACTGATCATTATGTCTCGGGAGCAGAAAGGTGAGCTTGGTTTTATTATGCATATTTTCACCAGAAGGAAAATAAAAAAGTGCAACAAAGAAAATGTTTGATCTGAATATTTTTTAAATGTGTGTGTGTGTGTGTCTTTTTAACTATTTCCGGGGTTTTGTTTTTGTGCCTCTTCAAAATAGAAGGCAATGTAAAATTTCGACCGGATAATGTAAACTTGACGAGAAGCGTTTGGAACATTTAAAGGGAGAAAAGTACGATGTTATGAGGAGATCTTTAAACTCTGAACAACCCATTCAAAATAATGAGTGTTTCCTGTTCTCCCTAGACTTTGGAGAAGGCTTCCTTCTGCACTTCTCAGAGTGCACATTCTAGTGCCAAGTTAGAATGTGCTGCCCTGGACTCAAGGGAACTGTGAGCCACTGCCCTGTGAGCTCGCTTCCTGGGCGGCGTCATCAGAAGGTGGGAAAGGAGACTAAGGCAATCCCCTGCCTCTAGCAGTGGGGGGCCTCCTGCTTCGTCAAAAAAGACTGGATTTGGGGATGTACCTTTTGGAAACAAACTTTTCTAAGATATGCTCTGTATAAACAAGAGAAGTTGGACGCAGTGGCTGCAGGCTAGCCAAGGACTTGGGTTTGGTGGGAAGGAATCTTCATCAGTCCTCCCCCTTTGAGCACTATTAACGCTCGTATTGATCTTCCCGTCAGACCTGGGGAACAGATCTGTTGGAAGGATAATAGCGAATGTCCGGTTTATGGATGCTGCAAGTGCGTCATTCTGAAGCTCAAACTTGAACTTTTAAAGGAAATCTTACAATTGACCCAGAATCACGGCTTTTTCCTCTGTCGCTCTCTGGTCCATAGAAGTGATTGCTACCTTCTCTTCAAAAATGGAAATTACTAGTAGAAAGGGATTCTAAGAAGTCCTTAGTATTTTTTATTTTTTGTACATGATCATTGATCAATTCATTGTTTGATATACAAAAATATTAACTTAAAATGGAAATGTCCCATTGTTATAACAATGAAAATAAAAGACATATTAATCTAATTTTGCTCACCTGATATCTTCCCACCCTTCCACCCCAGGCTTAGATTGGTTAAAAGGAGAAATTATTCATAGAACTGTGGTAACTACCTTTGAATACTCCATGAAAAAACAACAGAGAAGCTACTGCTAGGGTTCCGGAGTTCTTCCATCATTTTCTTCTTACTGGGAGGGCTGATGGTCCACAAAGAATTTGAGTTTCCTTCCAGCTCTGCTACCGTGACATCTTCTCTTTCATAATTTTCCAGAAATTGCATAGCAGCCTGCATGGACCCAGACCCACAGACATCACATACGTGCTGCATAAAGAAAGCAATTACTCTACCTTTTAACTGACTGTCTGGAAAGCATTTCCTGTGAAAGGGAACATTGTCTAATTGATTACCCTGAGTATCCTGCGCACTAGTTTTAAATCCCTCCCCACAGGCGGGGCAACTATTAGTCGTATGTAGTCGTATGGCTTCATTGTAGTCTAACTGTTGCTATCACCAAATAAACTACAGAATCTCTCCAAAGGAAAGAGGAAAACTCGGACATTAACGGAGCATTTCCACTCTTTGATAAGTAGGACAATTATCAACTTCTGGGGAGCCTTCCTCTAATGTCAAATGCAAAATTGAACCCAGCAGGACACAGTAGCCCTGATCATCTCCAAGGTTACCTTCGACTCGACGTTGTGAGCTATGTGCTGGTAACCTTACGAAAGAGAGCAGCATTGGATCATTTTCTCTAAATAAAAAGTACTATTTCTAAAACAAAGTCTAATTATGAAAATAATGTTATACCATGAAATGTTTGGAATATAGAGAAAACGATAATACCACCTACAATGCCACTACCAAATTACTGTGTTTTAAGGAATTATATAGTTTATAGAATTTGTGGTGATGATTTTATTTTTACACTATAAGTCATTAGGAAAGTCTTTTCACACACCCATTCACTCTCACTGTCATCCAGTTGATGCTGGCTCATAGAAGCCCTGTAAGGACAGGCTAGAACTGTCCCTGTGGGTTTCCAAGACTAAACCTTTAGAGGAGTAGAAAATGTACAAATCTTTCTCCTGGGAAGTGGCAGGTGGTTTCAAACTGCTGACCTCATGATTAGTACCCCAACCACTAAGCAACCAGGATGCCCCTTTATACATCATAGCATCTAAATAACACAAAAAGTGTAAGCCCTGCCTTCTCCCACAATGACCACTTTAGGGTAGCCAGTACCCTGTCCCTCATGGACACTGTAGGTAATTCAATAAATTCCCATTTGTTGAATCTTCAAAATGCTTCCAATTTTCACTAATATAGAGAATGTTTTAATATAAAACACCTACATTTAGTTTTTGCACATACTGACTTGCTTCCTTGGGGTAGATTCCCACAGTAGGTGTACTGTGAAACAATCTCTGTTGAGCTTATGCTAGAATGTTCTGAATTAAAATTATGTTTAGCAACATTTACATCTAATAGTTTAGCTATAACTTTTCAGATGCTACAACTGATTAATGGTGAGGAACCTGCTGACTATGTGTGATACGTGCTAAAAAGCCCTTCTTCCCGCCACCACAGCCCTTGGCAAAAGAACCGATAATACAACAATCCGTTAGCTCACCTAGATGAAAGGTCTTCATTAGAGAGCCACTATATGCATTTACTTACTGTGTCCTTAGAAAAAGAACCCATAAATTTTCCAAACGTGGTTTGGTTCATAACTTTTAGCTGGCTTTGTTGGGCACTCATGGTGAAAATTGGCTGGAAAAGAAAGGTGCATGGTATTGTCAATGGTTCTGGAGTCTCCTCTGAGTCTGGATGAACTGAAAAGTATTTACATGGTATAGTTGTATAGTCTACTAACTGCCCTTATGCCAACTGGCCAAGGAGATGTCTTTTTAAAAGTGATAACTGCTGTACTCAACACCAGAACAGAGATATGCATCACAATCTTTTCTGCCTTAGTTCATATGTTCCATAGGACCGGGCGGTGTTTCATTCTGTTGTTCACAGGGCACATCTAACAGCTTCACAACGTAGGAGTACTTACCAAAAGGTCCACATTTAGGTAGAATAATCGAGTCCAGAAAACCTAACTAAACATTGCACAGGGGGTTACCCTGGCAATACCAAATAGGTAGGTGACACTGAAAGCAAAACCACAAGCCACCCCTTTCATTACCTGGTATCCTCCCAGGGTGATTGTGACAGAGACATCCAGGGGCTGGTTGATCACACCAGCAACAGACTTGATCAAGGACATGAAGAGAAGAGGAAACCATACGATGCAAATCAGCAGGACAATGATCATGCCGCCCATGCCGTACTTCACCGCCTTCTTCTTCTTCTGTCCCCGGGGCTGAGGATACCTCTGCAACAGAGGGTGCAAAGTGCCAACTGGTGATTGACAGATGGGTAGGAGGCAGGTACTTTTCACAAAGAGGCTTGGGGCTCGTGCTCATTTTGATTCTGCTCTGCTTGCTCAGGAACAAGGATGACAAGCCCTACCCCAACATCCGGGTGAGGGGCAGTGGTGAAGGTAAACGTGCAGTCAGGGTCCAAGGGAGCATAGCATGGGCCACCAAGTGGTCACAGTAGCAGGGTAGGGGATAGGGATTTTGGTGGGATGTTGTCTGGATGGCCCACAAAGTGGGAAAAGGGGTGGCCGTGGGGACATCATGAAACACTGGGTGGGTTAGGTCAGGGCCAACACCACTAGTCACAGAAGGCTCTGAGGGCAAGAGAAAGAGTACACATTCTTCTCTAGTTGACAGTCACCTGCATGAGCATTGGGGCACCTGTGGGCAAAAGCAGTCAGTTACCTGGTTTCTGCTCTGAACACAAGCGAGGGCAGAGGAATCTCTGGAGCCCAGTGGCTCCAGATGATACCCCACAAGCCTGGCCCTCCCTTTGAGCCCCCAACCCCTACAGGGAACTTACTGATGATTGGCTATATCCCTATTCATGGGTTTCGTGCCTGCTTTGTGGCTGGCTGAGTCTCCAGACTTCCTGCACTTTCCTTCCTATGTATGGCTTGTGTTATACACACCTTGCTTCACTCCAGATTTGTCTACATTGTGTTTCTGTCTTATTGGAGACTCCATCAAGGTGCCTTCCTGTGATCCTCACTCAGGACTACTGCCTTCAATGTTCCAAAATGACCACGCCGTGCCACACCAGGGGGTGGAGCACCTCTGCTCATGTTTCTCCTTATTGCTGCTTTTATACAGTTTATTCTTCCAGTCAACACATGATATCATTCTTGATTTTTAATTTCATCTTTCCCATTAAGAGCACTAGGATTGTCACCTGCATCTATTTCACGTGGTTTTCTTGGGTCTTTGGTGCACAGGGGCAAAATGGAGCGTCTAATTAGGCCCCCATCTTATCTAACTCCCTCGTTCAGCAGCATCTTATAGTTTTCACTGTATAAATCCTTCATGTCCTTTGTTACATTTATGCCTAGGCATTTTACTCTCTTAGATGTTATTATAAATGGAATTGTTTGTTTAATTTCCCTTCCAGGTATCTCTCTGATGCCTTTTTTCTTTTTTTATTGCTCCATCAGGAACTTCTAATACCATGCTGAATAGAATTGGTGAGAGCACACATCCTTGGCTGGTTACTGACTCCAAAGGGAAACCTCTTAGTCTTTCCCATGATTATAACGTGAGCTGTTCATGTATGCCCAGAGGAATTGCTCTCCCATCCCAATCTTTTTTTTTTTAAGGGTTTTCATCAAGAAAGGAAATTGGATTATATCAAATGTTGCTGTTTTCTGAATCCGTAGGGATGATCATACAGTCCTTTTTCTTTGGTCTGTTGATCATCCCTGTATTCCTGGAATACATTCCAGTTGGTCGTGGTTGTCTCACAGAGCTTTCACTGGATAAGAATAACGGGATAAGCACTAGATTGTTGAAGTACAGAGCACTGCTGGAACCCCTCGGGAAAGATGTGACCCCAAATGAGGGTTGGAAAAGGCCTCTGGAGAAAGAGGTGTCTATATTGAAATCTACACATTGGAGAGGAGTTACACAAATACGAAACTTGGGACAGGATGTAAAGACAGGAAAGTCTTCTCCTGAATTGTCTGTGAAAGTAGATGAATGGAGACATGGCTGGGGCAAAGGATTCAGGGACAAATGTAGCAATGTAAATGCTCCCTTTCCCTCCTGCTAAGGGATTTCTTCCATCAGCTCTCAGCTCCTTCCGCACATATTCGAATTCGCGAGCCTTCCTTTAGGAGATACTCTCAGAGCATCTTTTATCCCTGTTCATGCATTTTCATCGATTTCACGAGTCTGTGTATTTACTGAACACCTTTCTCCCAATGCACTGCTAATTCCAGGAAAGCGGAGAACCTGGTTATGTTCGGATCGTTAGTCCACGTCAGCCCTGAGCTTAGAGCACTAGGAAGGTGCTTCATAAATGTTATGGTCGATTGCACAAAAAAGAAAAAGAGAAGAAAAAGTTCTCGAAATGTTTCTCATTTCTGTAGTCATGACCTCAGCGGCATGACTTTATTACCTCTCCACCAAGTTCTCTGGACATTTCACTCCAGGCTTTTGATGTGCGTTGCAGCAGAAAGGGGTGACTATTACTGTGAGGGGATATTTGACGTTCACTCTGTGCTTTGGAATGTGCTACCACCACGAGGCGACGTCCAGCTGGCCTCCCTGAGCATGACTGCATCCATGGAGCGGGAGTCTAGCCAAGCGTGGGGCACCTGAGGCAGCCACGGCCCCGCAGCCACAGGGGTGACCTGACAAGAGCAGCAGCACACATGCCCACCCACTGAGAAGCAAATAAGACAGTGGTTCTTCCAAACCAATACCTTCCGTTTATCCCAGGAGTTTGTCAGCAGCGGTCGGTTACTGATAGGATATTTGCTGAATGGATCGCTCCAGGAACTGAAAGGGGACTGAACACTTCTCGGCCAGATGTGCTATGACATGAATTCTCCTCTCCATGCTCCTCCATGTACCCGGATAGCTCTTGGTGACCGTCTCTTAAGGGAGCCACTTCTGAGCCATCTCTTCTTTTCCATGACACCCCTACAAGCTTCCCCTGCTCATCGTAACTCAGTTTCCTGGACTCTCCCAAGTTGATACTAACCTTTCGTTGTCCATATTTCAAATAGTTAAGCACAGCTATTATTTATGTCACCATCTAGTTTTTTTACATCAGACCAAAGACTTCTCCTCACAGGTCAAGCTTTCCTTTGCCACCCTGGCTGCGAGCTTCAGTGTCCCTTTGAAACAGTGGCTCTCATAGTGTGATCGCATCCACCCTCCTGTTCCAGGTCCATCAGCTTGTGGTTTCCTCAGGACATGCGTGTTCAACTTTGCTATAAACAACCCTAATTTCCACCCACAGAGACATCGAGCCAAAGTAACATGGGCCACCCGACAGGGGAAGCTTCAGAAAACACTTGAGATTGTATGAAAGGACTTTCAAAGTGGGTACTATCAAAATGAGAATAAAGGCACTTCATACCACTTGGCCTAATATTTTTTGGGAGGTACTTCTACTACTATTACATTTGTTAAACTTTGAAATATCCGTTAGAGAATAGCAATTCTGTCTATCTATTAAACCTGGAAGAATGAAAAAATGTTTGCACTTCAATTTCCTTTATGCAGAGTTTAAATTCTCTCTCCTTCGCTAAGTGTGACCCAGAGGGCAGACAGGACTCCAAACCACCGGACCCTGCTTTCCCTCACCAAACTGCTACCACACGGGCTCTGAAGAAGTACTGGGTTACACGGAAATATGGCACTTCTTCTTCCTAAGAGAGATTCCATTAAAGAAGGTACCCAGATGATGTTGCTGAAAACACAGCAGGGAGTCTGAAATTCACAAGGCAAGCAGTCTGGCCATTGACAGAACATTTGTAGGTCTGAGTCATTTGTTGCATCTGCCTTGATTTATTTGGCCTTCAGAGTCACGAAACTTCACACTGATAAGTAGCCTCTTTCAAGGAGAAACAAACAGGAATATAGGCACTTTAATTGGTTCCTTACTTTTTCGGATTCTCGCCAACACTTCAGGATGAATATGTGAGCATATATGTCCTCCACACAAATCCAGCTGGAGAGGCTCAGGGTGGTGTCTGTCCACACCCAGTCCATCACAGCTCTCAGCTCCGTCAAGAATGGAACAAGGCGGAACCTGAGAGGAAGCACATCGTATTAGACAGCCGGGTGAGGATGGTCTCATCCACGAAGTTGATGTGTCTGGGAATTAGGTTAGCTTTCATGACTCAGGAAATATCTCTAGGTGACTCCTAAAGTAAAGGTAGACGAGGAGCACAATTGCTGTACTCTAATCCTGTGCACAGGATTACACACAGGAACTAACTCCTGCACACTAGGATTAGGGTTGTATATGCTTTGCCCCCTTTACTGATCTTAACAAACTGGTATTTCTTGTTCAAATACATTTTGAGCTGGACTTGGATTTTTAACATTTGTGTGCTATGAGACTCGATGGAGCACAGGATTAATGAAAATTGTTCACATTGGTAGAGTTGTGCTTTTGCTGTAGAATGCGTTAGGGAAGATTACAGACATGATCACTGAAAGATGTGGGAAAATAAGCTCGTGGGGTGTGAATATCCTTGGCTCTAGGCTGTAGCTCCAACAGCAATGGGTTTTTCAAGGTCAGCATGACTGACTGAACCACTTGTGTTTCAGTTGGGGATGGGTCCTCTGGGAACTAAGAGAATACCTTCTCTCTTTTTGCCTGCCACAAAGCATCTCGCAGGCTTGAGAGCCATGGCTAATCTCCGGCCCCTCACAACTCTTTGGATCAAGCCTCAGAAATGACACTTTAAATCTGTTGAATGAACAGTAACCCCTGGAGAAGACATCCACTTGGACGCAGGATGACACTACGTGAAGCATTACTCAACATCTGAGGGCTCCACTGTGTCGAACTCTTCCCTAAGAAGGGGCTGTGGGACCACAAACAGCCACACCTTTCATACCACCCCATCACTCCCCAGGAAACTGGAAGACGAGGCTTCTGTCAGATCACCAGACTGGAGAGCTAATTTCCTCTCAGGCATAAGCAAGCCATGTAATATTCCATTTGGTATTATGCGGGATAAACACTCTTCTGTGGTGAATACACTTAATTGACATCACACTGACCAAATATTTTGGAATATTCCAGATTACAAGTAGTCTGTAGGTTGTGCACAGAAGTGCATTTATTGAGGTGTGATTCATGTGTCTTTGATTTTTGTTTAAAATGTCATCACGGCAATCATACAGGATACAAAAACCAGAACATGAACCTGTGTGGAGGGTCCTGGAAGAACTACACACAGAAATGTGCTGAAAGAAGCCTGGTTATTCTCTTGCCAAACATTGCACATGAATTGCTTTATTTCTGCATTCCTTCTGTTTCCATTTCTCCCCAGGCTGGACCTTGTCAGCCTCACCTGTAGAAGGGAGGGAACACTGGAGAATGGACTTACCCTTGAAACAAGAAGAGATTGACATAGTTGTAACTCTTTGTGAGAAAATTTCCCAGGACTCTTGTTGGGTAGCCACAGCGAATTTGGTAGGCAGATAATCCGAAGTAAACACATTTCACAAAATACCAAAGCTGAGCAACTAGATTCTGGCTGAATTTTCTAAAATGTGAAAATACAGACACATGAAGGAATGGATTCATTCTAGTACAAAATGGCACCTGGTTAGGATTAAAAATTAAAAAAAAAAAGTTGTTTCCCCCTCACTCCCCGACGCCCTCACCCCCCAGGCAATTATCCAATTCTGAAATTCTCTATACACCTGAACCCAAAGGCAAAAGGCGAGGCAAGAAATTTTTTTTAAGTTTTCTGTGAATGGTGCCTCCAATGTTCGAGTATATTATTCAACCGATTAGGCCATCATTAAGATAGATTACTTTGAAAGGAAAACCCAAACCAGACGCACTGCCACAGAGTTGATTCTGCACCATAGTGATCTCTCAGGCTATAAATCTCAACTAGAGCCAATAACATATTTTATTCCCCTGGGAGCAGCTGGTGGGTTTGAACCACCAACCTTGTGGTGAGTTAATACTAAATATTTTCTCAAAGGATGGATGATGTAGCTACCTGTGGATGTCTGAACTAAAACTCATGAAAGGAAGAATCAAAGTAAACATTTTACTTAAAAGGATTGACAATTTAAGATATGTGGAGCTAAATTTTTAAATATTTTGTTGTGCATCTACAGAAATATATGAGAATAACTTTCAAAACACAAGAGACACATATAAAACCATAGATGTATGAGTGAATTTGGGGCTCACATTTAATTCTAGCCTCAGTCTAAGAATAATTAGTTCTTATGACATGGCCCTAATTCAATACTTTCCCTCATGAAGAGATCCCTGAAGATATGGGTGTTATAGCAATGTATGGTGAAGAAACAAGGTGGTTCCCAGCTATCAGAAAGAATGGCTTTTGGGGGTTTAAAGGCCTGTCTTATAACAAGCAGCCATATAAGTGAGGTGTCGACTAAGTGTACAGAGAAGAACCACACCAGCCTGTGTGATTCAAGGATTGTACATAATAAAATCCAAATCCAAAGGAGGGAATGGTATCCGAGCTTTAATTATGAACACTCCGTTTGCAGAAGGCTCTGGATGACAGTGAAATCCCAAAATCCATTTGCAGGGCTCCCACATAGATTATTACCACTTGTCTGTCAGATTGTTGTGCTGTGGTGGCTTGTGTGTTGTTGTGATGCTGGAAGCTATATCCCTGGTATTTCAAATTCCAGCAGAGTCACCAAAAGTGAACAAGTTTCAGCAGACCTTCCAGACTAAGAACAGACTATGAAACAGGAATTAGTGGTCTGCTTCAGAGGTAGTAGCCGCTGAAAACCTTAGGCATATAATCAAAACATTATCAGATACTGAGGATCCGGTGAATGGAAGTAGAACACTGTCAGAGATAGTGCCGGAGGATGGGCCCCTCGGGCCGGAATGCACTTGAAATATGACTGAGGAGGAGTTGCCTTCTCAAGTGCTGTTGACCTTGGTGACGGGAATAGAATAAATCCTGTGGGAGTAAAGCCTTTAAGATCTTCACTTGCTGATGGGGCACAATTTAAAATGAGAAGAAACAACTGTAATAACCTACCAATAATCAGATCTTAGAATGTACAAAGTGGGAATCTAGGAAAATTGAGTGTTGCAAAAACTGAGGTGGGATGCATACAGATCAATTTCCTTGGTGTTACTGAGCTGAAAGGGACCAGAATTGGCCATTTTGAATCAGAAGCTCATAGGGTTTACTATGCTGGACATGAAACAGTCAAGGAGAATGGCATTGCATTCATCATCAAACATGATGTCTCAGGATCTATCCGGAAGTACAATGCTGTTTGTAATATGGTTGTATCCATCCAAAATCAAAGAAATTCAATCAATCCAATTGTGGTTGTTAGGGATTGTGTCAACCAGACACTCCTGGCTTGGGGTGGATTCAAACCTGTCGATCAAGTCAGAGCCTGAGGACACCTTGAGCTTGTAAGACTTTTGTGTAAGACAGGGAGACCAAGGAAAGTTGAGTCTTCTTTGTCCCGTTGCCTTCTGGAGTTGGACCTTGCAGGTGCTTCCTGATCTCCTATTGCATCATTGCCAATCCAGGAGCCATCAGCAGACTAGCTGGTGGATCCACTCATCTGACTTCAGATCTCTACACCCACTAGGCTGTCCCCTCTGCTGTCTTGGCTTCGTCGTCCGTGTCTGGTGCCTCCATATCCTATTGCACCCTGCTCATCAGCTTCTAGGATCAGGAGAAACTTCACTTAAACTGGGCTGGACTTACCTATTTCTAAACTATGTAAGCCATTTCTTGATATAAATCTCTTTTTATAAACAACACGCACAAGTGTCACTGGTTTTGTTTCTCTAGAGGACTCAGCCCAACACAACAATGATTATCCAAATGTATGCATCAACAACCAAGGCTCCAAATCACAAATGAAACTCACTGTCAATGAGTCAGTGCTGACTCATATCAACCCTGCAGAACAGGGTAGAACTGTGTCTGCGAGTTTATAAAACCGTAATGGTTTACAAGAATAGAAAGCCCCACGTTTCTCCCATGGAGTGGCTACTGGTTTCGAGCTGCTGTCCTTGTGGTTAGCAGCCCATTGCTAACCAAAATACCATGAGGAATGCAGAAATTGAAGAATTCTGCCAATATCTTCTTTCTGAAATTGATCAAACATGCCATTGAGATGCAATGATCATTATCGGCAATTGGAATGCATCTGTTGGAAACCAAGAGGAAGGAGCAGTAGTTGGAAAATGTGGTCTTGATGAAGCTGGAGATCCCTGGACAGAATTGTAAAAGACCAATGACTTGCTCACAGCAAATACCTTTGTTCAACAACACAAAAGGGGAATAGACTCGTGGCCTCTCCAGGTGGAATTCTCAGAAATCAAATGGACTACAGCTCAATGTTAGCAGCTAAGACCAGGCCAGGGGCTGACTAGGAACTGATAATCAGTTGCTCTTGTGTAAGTTCAGGTTGAAGCTGAAGGAAATTAAAACAACTTCATGAGAGCTAAATTACAAGTCTGTCCCACCTGAATTTCAAGAACAAATTAGATGCATTGAACACTAATGACAGTAGACCTGATGAGCTGTGGGAGAAGTTCAAGAACATAATTCATGAAGGAAACACAAGGTCATTAAAAAAACAGGACAGAAAAAAAAGATCAGGGTGGCTGTCAGAAGAAACTCAAACAAAACCATTCATGTCACATGCAAGTAAAATTTTGCTTAAGATCATCCAACAACGGCTGCAGCAGTACATTGACAGAGAACTGCCAAAGAGTCAGGCTGGATTCAGAAGAGGACTTGGGACAAAGGATATCATTACTGGTGTCAGATGGATCTTGACTGAAAGCAGAGAATACCAGAAAGATATTTACTTTTAGGATACGTTCTAACAAGAGCTAAATGGAACTAAATTTCACACTAGAAAAGTCGGTAACTCAGTTGACTTATTATTCTATACCCAGGCACCTGCATGGATGCCCCAGGGACTGGGCACAGAGTCAATGGCTAGAGACCTTATTCACGCTCCTTAGAAAGTCTCCTGTGCTAAGAAACCGGCCATTGTAGCTATCTAGAGCTGCTATAACAGAAATACCACAAGGGGGTGGTTTTAATGGACAGAGCTTGGTTTTCTCACAGTTTAGGAGACTTGAAGCCTGTATTCAGGGCATCAGCTCTACAGAGGTAGTCTCTCTCTCTCTGTCTGCTCTGGGGCAAGGTCTGATCTCTTCATGGCTTCTAATCCCAGATGAGTTGGTGATCTTTGGCCTGGTAATGTTTCTTTCCATTTGGGCTTCCTTGCTTAATCTGCTTTTTTCATATCTTGGGAAATTGATTTAAAACATGTCCTACACTAATATTGCTTCATGAACAGACCAAGGAAATCTCATTCCCAAATGAGATTGCAACCATAAGTACTGACTCACTGCCATTCAGAACTGCTGAACTTGAGGTTAGCAGCCCCACCTGCAACCACTACATCACCAGGGCTCCCAGCCAGAGGTTAGGGTTTACAACATGCTTTGTGCAGTTTGTCTCTGTTTGTGCACAGAGAAGTTATTGGTTGATTTAATTTTCTAAGTTTCCAATAAAGAGCTCTGCTAATGATAAATTCATGAAACCACAGGGTAGGGCTACACAGAACTTCTACTTCTACTTTAGTACTTTATTATTGACAACTTAATTTCTTGACTCTTTGATCTACTTAACTCTCTACTTATTTTATTCCTTTATTTTTGATTGGAGAAGTTCCCCAAATTTTATGTATACTTCAATGAAGGGAAGCAGCCGTGAAAATACATGTTGGCCCATTCTCTTTGCTTTGCTTCCATGATTTAAATCTGTTTCAGAATGAGGTTGTTCACGTGTTGCTCAAACATATGGTCTTCCTTCAGTACTGACAACTTTTAATCAAATGCCAACATAGATGGAAGTAGTAACCTCAGGGGGATAACATGTGAATGTCAGTTTAGACAACAGGAAGATTATTTTATCCCACTCATTTTGAATGAACTGTTTTTTAATGGCTTATGGTTGACAGATTGAAGAGACTGTCTCATGGCTGGGATATCAGAAGAAAGCCTATTTATTAGCTTAATAAAAAAATCCATGGAGAACTAAAAAGAAAACCATAGCAAATTAATATACTTCATAAACAAATGAATGTGCTGCTAGGCAATTTACCATTTGACTGTTTCCTTATTCTAATGACCAAAAAACATACCTAGCTTTCTTCTTTAAAATGACAGTTATTAAATAAATTATCCATTGTTAGATACCATTGAGTAGATTTAGACTCATATGCAATACAAAACAGAATGAAACATTGTTCGGTTCTGTGCCAACCTCACAATCATTTTTATAGTTGAGTCCATTGTCGCAGCCATTGTGTCAATCCATCTTATCAAGGGTCTTTCTCTTTTTGATTGTGCTTCTACTTTACCAAGGATGATGTTCTTTTCAGGGACTGGTCTCTCCTGGTAACATGTCCAAAGTAGAGGAGATGAAGTCTCGCCTTCCTCTCTCTATAGAACATTCTAGCTGTATTTCTTCAAAACACAATATTTTTTTCCTGTTCTTCTGGAGGTCCATGGTACTTCCACTGAAGCCATAATTCAAATTCAGAGATTCCTCTCCATTTTTTCTTGTTCAACGTCCAACTCACATATATCTGGGACAATTGAAAATATCATGGCTAGGGTCAGGTGCACCTTAGTCTCACAGTGACAACCTTATTCTTCAAAAATTTAAAGAAGTCTTGGGCAGTGGATTCACCATTTAATTTCTTGACTGCTATTTTCGTGAGCATTAATTGTGGATCCTAGCAAGGTGAAAACGTTGAGAACGTAAATCTTTTTTCTATTTATAATGATTTAATTTTAGTTCAGTTGTGAGGATTCTGGTTTTTCCCCCCAGATTGAGTTGTAATTTGAACTGAAGACTGTAATCCTTGATCTTCAATAGCACGGCGTAAGTCCTCCTCAGTTTCTGTAAGCAAGTTCGTGTATCTGGATATCAAACGTTGTTACAAAGCCTTCCTCCCATCCTCCTGTCACATTTCCTTCATAGAGTCCAGCTTCCCAGATTCTTTGTTCTGAATACGTATTGAGTAAATATGGCTAATGGATACAACCCTGAAGCATATCTTTCCTAATTTTAAACCACACAGTATTCCTTAATTCCATTTGAATGATTGTGCCTTGGTACATGGGTACATAGAGTGTTCTGGAATTCTCATTCTTCTTAATGTTATCCTCATTTATTATGATCAACATAGCCAACTATCTTTACATCGTCGATAAAATACAAGTAACCGTTTTTCTTTGCAATGATAACTGAAGATGTCTAAAACAAGATATATCAGAGGAAAAGCAATCCCCAGGGAAGGCTTCGAAATTGATAATAAACAACAGCAACCTCAATAGATGAGGCCTGTGCTTCTTCATACCAATTGCTGTGTGAGGTATTCATTTATTCATGTATCTGTATGCAGGTGTATTCAATGAAGGGTGTCACTCTTAGTACTTTGTATAGACACTCCCTACTGGGAACTCTACTTTCACACCTTAACAGATAGTCCCCACTGATAGAGATGTTCTTGGCTTCTCTTTTGCTGATGGATTTATTCACCTTTTCACGCATTACATATGGTTACCTATATTCTACAGTGGAAAGACTACCTAGCTTAAGCGACTTCGATGCTGAGATCTCGAGAGCAGGCAGGAAACACCATAGTGAGGTGGTACAGGAGAGAAGAGAAGTAGAGAGCATGAGGTAGCCAGACAGCAGGCCAAGCTTTGAGGTGTGAAAGAACACAGTACCCCTGGGAGCTGAAGAAAACGACACCCACAAGGGCTGTGTTCAAGGCAACACAGGAGGGACAGTAGCCACCTTTATTGGCCCACTGTCCTTGCCTTATAGTATTACAGGCTGCTCTGCTCTTAACCACCGATCACTCTCACCCGCAGGCTGTACCAATAGCAGGCACAGGCACAGTCACGGTGTCTGGCAATTTCAAGCTGATCTTTAAACAATTTTATATTTCATTCCCATGGTAACTTAACCCTCTGGGCAAATATTATGACCTTCCATGGCCACCCTCCTTTTTTCTTCTGTCAGTTAGTCCCCAACATCTCCCACCAATTTCTCCAGTGACAGATTGTTATTAAACTTTCCTGCAGTCCTGATGCCACCCCATTCTTTATATAATCCAGCTTCTCTGGCACCAGCTCTCCCATCACCATGCTCTGCGTCACCTGCATGCTGTGAAGGAGCCGTGACAGACGGCACAGAGAGAACACTGGATGGGTTTTGATTCTTCAGCTGGTCACCACGCTCATGCAAAAGTTAAATCTCTACTTCTGTTAATGCAGAATAAACCACAATTAAATTCTTTTGAGGTATCATTTCACACCTTGGGCAGACAGTGAGTTTGATTCTAATTAAAATCTTTGACTTTTCATATGCCTTTTCCTGTATCTGTGTTTTTGTTTTGCAAATACGCGCGTGGTGATAACTTTATGAAACCCATAGACCTTAAAGTAGGCTCGTGTCCCCAGTTCCTTACCTCTCAGTCACACTAGGTAAGATGAAGAACATCCAAAAGTGGATTCCAAACACAAGAATGACCTGGAAAACAACCTTTCCCAGCACAGTCTTTCGGAGGTAGAGAGCCCGGTCCACTACCATCGTTCCAAATTGGATGAGGACCATCACCAGGAATGGCCCTGGAACTTGGTCCTCTGACAGAGAAGAGGTGATGTCTGCTGCTGCTGAATGTTTCTGGAAAGGCACAAAGCATCAGGCCGAGTGATATCACACAAGCAAAACCTGTCTCCTAGAACACAGAAACATAGCAGAATCGTCCTAACTTACCCCAAAGGCCCAGAAGCCAAAGACAATGATGATGAAGTCAACAGTGTCTGCCAGGAACATGAGGACATACACGTCAGTCACAGCACTGTAGTCTGGGTGGATGAGGTCATAGAAGAACTGTCGGATGGGCACGTATATTTGCAGAGTCCTACAAAACAGAGACCCACCCACTGTGTCAAGAAGACAGGCTGGGAGAAGGACCAGCCATTTCAGCTAGTGGGCGCAAGGAGCAGCCCCGTGTTCTATGGTCCCCCCAGTGCCCCCATGTAGATGCACTGGGGCTGGCTCTGGTTCTGACAGACAGTATGCAGGTGGTTATTGCCACGGTAGTTGTTAGATGCTATGGATTTGGCCCCTGACTCATGCAAAATGGGAACAACATTCTTCCCTGTTTCGTGCTGTTCCCATGATCGGTTGTGGGTCCGAGTATTTTGTAATTTAGAGTTTTCATGAGTTGATTTTCAGAAGTAGCTCACTGCGCCTTCCTTCCTAGTCCAGCTTAGTCAGGAAACTCTGCTAACCCTGTTTCCCATCAGAGTACCACGCTGAGATGGGTGGTGACTGTGTATGAGATGCATCTGCTAAGGGTTAAAGTTGAGTCTCTTGCTTGGAAGGTGACAGCCCTACCAAAGGACCCAATGCCCTCAAGCCAAAGCTACACGGGGCAATGGTGTCACAGACCTCTTTTCATCTTGAAGTCGTTGTACTCTGGACTGTAAACTCAGCGTCTGGGTTGAAAACAATTACTACTTGTGAAACTTGAGCCGGTGGCTGCTTCGCTCTGCGTTTCTGTTCCCTCTTCTGTAAATTGGGCAAAGATAACATCTGACTCACAGGGCCAAGTGAAAGTGTACTGAGAAGATGTTTTCATGCAGAGGACAAGACTCAGCACAAGTGTTACAGCCCTCTCTCTTTAGTTCCCGGGCTCCACCTGCTCTGTCTTTCAGTATCAGGCACTGTTGGCCCCAGGTGACCATCCACCTCTGATTTCTGTCTTCCATGCCTTCAGTGTGCCTACAATTCAAGGCTATGCTAGAGCATGGCAGCACACCTGATCTAAGAACCGTCATCACCTGGGGCCTTCTTCAAATGATGGTGTCTGGTCCAATCATGATTTGACCCTGGACCTGCAGACTCTAGTACCTCTTCCATTCTAGGCCATGGCTATTGTCTCTCAGAATGCCTGGTAATCAGAAGGGGTCTGGACACTTGGCTTGATACGAGTTGATTGACAGAGTCCCTGGATCATGCAAACCATTTGCATGCTTGGCTGCTCAACCAAAATGGAAGGTTTGAGTTCACTCAAAGACTACACATAGAAAAGATTAGTGGTATCATTCTGAAAAGCCAGTGGTTGATAACCCCACTGAAAAAGTGTCACTCTGAAACACACGAAGCTCTGTGGTCATGTCTGGAAATGCACACTGCCAGCCCTTCCAATTTCTTCTTAATTCTATTTAAATGTAAAAAGTGTTTTCACTAAGTTCCACTAAAAATAAGTCATACTTATTGAGAATTATTTTTTTTAAAAAAATGCAATTATGGACCATTTTACCCTGTCTTAAGAGGGTCATATAAAATTATCATCTGAGAAATCACCTCTTTGTCCTTGACCTCTGGATTATATGAAATAACGGTTACACATTCTCCTGCCCTAGAATAACTTACCCACCTCAAAGGTGTCATTTACTCACTTTTCAATGGTAAATATTTTTGCTTTGATTAAATGCTCCTGAAGCTTTTCCATATAGAGTTCCCTTTTGCTCTTGCGCTTCATGCTGAAAACACTGCTTCCTTTTAGACTGCTGTTTCTGGTACTTGTACTTCCTAGAAACCGAAAGAAACCTATAGTGAGCAATAGGGTGTGACAGTACATACATGACGAAAGTACCTGGGTAACGGAGTGTGTTAAATTGCTTTACGGGGACACAAGTACACCGACACCCTGAAGAGTGATGCTGAGTCACCTGTGCACCTTCTCCATTCTGCTTCCACAGTAAAATCAGTGTGGGCTGCCGCGACGAGGCATGTGCTCTGTGCCAGTCTTGGTGCCTTTCTCTCTCCGTGAAAAGCACATCAGGGTCTGGCAGTGGGCTCTGAGGAGGATAACTCAGCACTCACATAGCGGAGAGCTTTAGGTATCAGCGCATCAGTTTGAAAGCTTAATTCTTCCAACAGGAGACACCTGGAGCACATCCCAGTCAACCTCACTCTCTAGTACAAAACTAATAACTGGCTTAGGAAATAACTAGATACTTTAACAAAAGTGCCCACTGGTTAAACCTAAACACCTTTTCAAAATACAGTCACCTTAAGCACTCTGGCACACTCAGCAGGGTATCTGGGTGTGATTTTAAAGCGCTCATGTCCTGGGGAATGAAGGGATGTGCTAGCAACTTCCCATAAGTGCTAACCACTGTCCCTAGCCCCAGAGTGGAATTGGGTGTGTTCTGCAATGGGTGACTGTCCCACTTGCATAGCCACACTGGGACTAGACCTTAGGTTGGCATAATTCCTGAACAATGTCTTTCACACAACAGATTGATCTCCCAATAGTCCTCCAACACATGCCCTGCCCCCCTCCTGGTACCATAAGCAAAGGTAGTTTGGGATGTGCTCCTTTCTAGGAATGCGCTATGGCACCTACCTCTTTCGGACCTGTTTGAGGAAAAGCTGGACTCCTGGGATGCCTGAGAGCTGCAGACAGAGCCCTTCCTCTGGATGGCAGTCTGCTGCTCTGGGAAATGCACGTGCACGGACTCCACTGAAGTTGCCAGGTTGATGGACTTCAGGGAGTCACAGGAGTCCTTTCTGCTGTGACTAAGAGAAAGGTCGTCGTCTGATCCATCCTTGTTCATGTCACCTCCAACGGAGTCATCGTCATCCCACAAGCCATGGCACTGAAAAGGCAAAATGACAATTCAGTCTGCAGTGCCTGAAGTCTATCTAATAGCTAGTTAGCTAGACTATCCCTCAAGATGGGAGAACTCGTCTTCTGAAGATTCTAGAACCTTACAATGTGCTAACTGAGCATAATGGGGTGTGTGCAGATGACAAGGACTTGGCTAATTAACTGAGATGAAGAGCAATAATGTTCGCTCAATGGAGACAAGAGGAAATGAAAGTCACTTGAATTATGCCTTGAGTGACAGTGCTTTTGCAAAACAATCATTTTATTGGGGGCTTATACAACTCATCACAATCCATACATCCATACATCCATTGTGTCAAGCACATTTGTACATTCATTGCCCTCATCATTCTCAAACATTGGCTCTCCATGTAAGCCCCTGGCATCAGCTCCTCATTTTTCCCCCTCCCTCCCCACTCGCCCCTCCCTCATGGACCATTGATAATTTATAAATTATTATTTTGTCATATCTTACACTGTCCAATGTCTCCCT